CAGTCGCTTGATCGTGAAAGTTGTGTGGCAGGATTGACTCGGTACCGTTTATATTCCATACCCATGACAAGTCGGTAGCAGGGCAATGTGTCTACTATTTCACACACACGATGTACCATAGTAGGGACTTGTGGACAACGACGAAGCCTATTCCATGTTGCCCCGTGAGCAGACAATGCAGAAAATAGCTCGGCCGTGCTGAATGGCTGGACACGGGTGGCATTACTCCCAGAGATCATCTCACGTCTTGTATGTGGTTACATCCCTAAACCCGCCTCAAGTTTGAATGCGTGAGGAGCTCGGACTGGGATAGTGCCTCGCGGCCGGGAGACGGGACGACAAAGTTAGAGCCTTAACAATCGGAAAACCCTAAAGCTTTACGATGGACACACTGAACTTGAACCAGGAAGCCAAGGGCCTAGGATGACAGCGTTGCGGCTTTTCTTCTAGGACCTGAATGGACGGTTTGAGATTCAACCCGAAATTTTTACGCCTTTCAGTCCGAAACCGAGACCTCACTTCCGGAACGTCGAGGATCGAGATGAGGCTTTGTGCTTGAGGTTTGAGGCTTCGGACCTGCGCATCCTTCTTCAAGTCCTCAATGCAACTCCTGCAAAATCTACGGCGTGCCAGACTATCTTCAAGGCTCCAAGTTCCGATCAGAAGTGCGGAGGAGGTGGAAGAGCCACCGTGACCGCGTTGCCCCGGCGAATTCGTAAATCAGCTGCGGAAACTTGCAGTTGTATAATGCTGTGGAATTTATGCGAGCCCAGGCTCAGAGCTCGTGAAATCCATGATACACTCTGCATGCACTAGGCCTCGGGCTCTGAGTGCAAGAATGTATTCGAGGAGCAGGCCATGATGGAAAGAGCATTGGAGGAAACAGCCCCACTTGAAGCACGATCAGCTCGTCCTTGCCTGCCCCCCCTCTAGCGCCACGGGCATTCTGCTGGCTTCTTGGCCACGATGTTGGCCTCCTGCTGCAAGAGCGGCAGTGCAAGTGCAATGATCCAAGGATCAGCCCGCCACCGAACCCAAAGGAAAAAGGCGTAGTTGCGTGGAGTTTGGCGCGTGTTGAGACTTTGTCTTTGAAGCCCAAGCGCTGTCCAGGCCGGGACATGAGCCGCTCGCGGCCGTCACCGAGCCGCTCGCCCGAGACCCGAAAGCGGTCGCGCTCCGGCCGCAATCGGAATGCTCCGAGGCATCGGGGCGACGTCATGGCCTTGTCGGAGCTTTGGCAGCTAGGGCTTGCAGCTCGCAGTTCGGCGTACCAGAGAATACGTCCATGTTCTAATAAAGGCAAGAAGATGTGTTGGGGGCGGCTTTTGCGAGCTCGCAGGCTGTTGAGGCGCTAGGTCCCCTAGGTTGGAGAGCTCAAAGCCGATTCGCCGCAAATTTCTGCAGGCCCTCGAGAGGAAGAAGCTATGCCAGCCTTGGGAAGGCACAAGGGCCTAAGGGCTGCAACATGCTGCAACCTTGCAGCAGGGTGCTGTTATTGCTTTTGCAAAGGACGATGCCTTGTGTGCTCCTCACTGAAAAGACAACTTAGCTGCGTGAGTGGCCCAGATCCAAAATCCCATCCTCATTGCTATAAAACGTTTTGGCCATCATTGGCAAGATCTGAAGTTCAATAGGATGCTGCCCAAAGGAGTAAATATGTTAGCACTTTCAACACTGGTACCTCAACATCACCACACACACTAGTGGTGAGACGAACCCCATAAAAGAGTGAGGCACTGCTCCCCAATCGCACAAACCCAAAGCGTCCGAAAGCCACAGGTGCGCAGAGCCCACAGTGCTGCGCGAAGCGTAGCCAACAGCCGGGATCCCGAGTTAGTCACTTAGCCAATGTCTCTAGACAGCCTCGGGCTCAGCACCCTCGCGACATTGTATCAAGGAAATCTGATCTCAAGCGTGGAATTCGGACGGTGTCTTTGCTTTTCAAGCTGTTATCGCTGCCAGTGCTGTTCACCAGGTTTTACCAGTGTCTTCCGAGAGTACTCTTGATGTCTGCTGGGATTTCCCGAACTGAACAAAACCATTGAGGCGAGGACTACAACGAGCTGAAGGAGGGGATTCTTACCTTCCAGCAATTTTGCTCTCACGACGCGGTTAGGGCAAGAGCAGGATGGATTCGCGCCTGCGTGAACATGCCCTGAGTCTGAGCTTGTCTGAGAAGGCGGAAGCCTTTGAAGCCGATGTCACACCACAGTTCCCCGCAGGATTTTCTAGCTGCCGACCAAGCTCCACGGACGAAGCCGGCAAAAGCCAAGAAGGTGGAGTGTGCTCATGGCCTAAACAGTGCCAGTTGCGAGACTGGTGTCCAGGCTCCGAAGAACCCTCCTGAGCGGGAGGCACCACGGCCTTCGCTTTCACGCAGGCCCTCAGACTTATGGTTTGCCGTTCCAGATCTGCGGCCAAGACTGGTGTTCGCCGCGATGCTTCCAAAGCTTTAGAGCTTTAGTCACTGCAGGGCTTTGCTCTCTACACGTGCCGACTGAGGCGTCAGCCCGAGGATCCGCCCTGCCGCAAGCGGCGGAAACGCGTGCACCTGGTGCATGGCTCGGTAGAGAGACGGGAGGGGTTCAAAAAGGACGCCATAATGCATTCTGAGAGGCTACTGAGGGTCCAGGCTTGGGGCATGTAGCCAAGATTTCAGACCGCTTCTACTTCTTGTTCAGTGCTTTGTTGTTGGGGAAGTGGCTCAACAGACAATCCCGCATCAGCAGCTCAAGAGTGGACAGAAGGTCGCGCTTGGCAGTGTGCTTACATCAAACGAACCCAAGCTCTCAGACACCACCTTCGCTTAATACTGACAACCAGGTGCCGAACCCAGATGCGATGAGATCTGCCCCTTGGCTTTGTATGCATCGCATTTGGCGAGCGAAGTCCCCGCCGGCAACCGGAGTCGCTGCATTTCAGTACAGCCCGCAGAAGTCTGGAATGCGAAGCCCATAGAACCCTGAAGACTAGGAGAGTCTTAGCCTTCAGGACGGTGACGGCGACTCTGGGCGCAGCAAGGCGTACTTGTGTGTTGATGCTGCACATGCTGCACTTGATCGCCAAGAGTTTTTGGGTCCTGGCCCGGCCCGGTCGCGGCCCGGTGCGCACAGCTCGGACCCGCAAGAAAAATGTCCAGCAAATCACACTTCAGGCTGCGAGTTTACTATCACCTTCACTCACAGTCTTTTTCCATTACAACCCAAATGTCGATCCAACAATTACTGACGATCTTTCAGAAACTGCGGGCAACATTCGCAACAGGCTGCCGAAGCCGGCCCTGTCCAGGACCGGGGCTCAGTGCGGGCAGTGCAGGTCTGAGGATTTCATGACAGGTGGGAAGTTGCAGGCTCAAAGTCTCCTGGTCTCTTCGCAGCCGGAGTCGAGGAGGGTACAGGAGGCTTTGAGCAAAAGCAGCAGTGATTGGCAGGAGGTTCAAAGAGTTCGTCTGGAATGCCGGCGAGCACAGGAGGCGCAGTCGCACCTGGCACCCTCTCACATCAGCAGAAGTCCGTCTGGTAAAGGTGTATCTTAGCGACAGTTCAGATCCCGACTGTTGACCCTGGGAATTGATTTCTTTCAGTGCGGCCTCGACAGTGGCTCGGCATAGCTGCTAGAGATTCGCGCAGGAAAAGACTCTCGGTATCCTGAGTTGCCAGCTGCGTGTCAGGTGGCACGACGAGCTCAAGCTGAATGCCGAGATCCCAAAATTGCAGTCCTGCGATTGCCGTATTTCGGGTTGAGCTTCAACAGTAACATCAACACCATGAGTGCACACACACACACACGGCAGAAGCCTGAAAACTAAACTTCAACAACCCTACAGAAAGCGCACCTACACGAGGTTTTTTTAGCCGACCCGCCCAAAGCCCCCGCCCCGACAGCCCCAACAGCGCCCTAAGAACCTGAGCCTGTTCAACATTGCAGCCCTCGTACGACAGTGTCTCCATTGCTCAAGGCCGCCGTGCAAAGGAGGAGTCCCGCAGGGCGATGGAGGCATGACTGAGCGTGGGATTTCGGATCTTGTTCGAACCAAACAGCCGTGGTCCTCAGTCCTCTCGCCATTCCTGAAGCCCCGGCTTGTGCCAGGAGTCGCGCAGAGCCAAAGAGGAGTCTGAGCGCGCCAAGGCGCTCTGGATGCACTTGCCTGGCCTCGCCGCTAGCCCTGAACCTTGGATTTTCTTGTGTGCTGTTGCTCCTAGCTAGAGTGGGCTTCGTGCCTTGCTCGGAACTGGAAGCTTCCGTGGGCAGGAGCAGATCCGGGCCTGGGAGGCCGGCACCCGCACTTGCACTTGGCGTGTCAGAGCTCTTCAGGGCGGCACAGGTTTCCTTCAAGACCTGTGAGGCGTAGGCATCGTGGTGGGATCTTGCAGGGAAGACAGAAGCTTCCAGGAGCAGCAGTGGAACTCGTGGGACTGGAAGGAGGAGGAGGTCTGGCGTCCAGATCCAGAGGAGTGGCCGCACCTCGATGAGGCCTGGGGTTGCTCTGTTGCTCCAGCTCCAGAACATTTACGGTAGGAGGCTTTCGGCTTCAGAGCCTCCCCACACACATGAGTTTATCGAGTGTGAGGTGATGGGGGGTTTGTGGAGTTCTTATGTAGTGTGCCCGGGGTTTGTCGACCAGGGCTGAGATTCAGCGTGCTTGTGATCAAGCCGAGCTAACGCAGCATTGAGACTGGTGTTGCGGAGCATCAGATGTCTTGATGGGGCAACATATCACTTCTTACAAGATTCTGCATGGTTTGGGCGAATTGGCTACTGTAGGTTCAGGTCCAACGACTTGTAGTCTGGGAAATCCTGTTTGTGTTCGCGCTTGTCCAGCACAGCTTCGCCTTGTGCGAGCGCCCCATGGTCATCCCAGCTTTGTGCCCTCATCTTAACCTCGAAGCATGCATGCCATGCACTTAACCGCACAGTCTTGGCCAAACTCGTTCCTTCAGGTTGGAAGTCGGAAGAGGGATGGCAACAAGGCCAGACGCCGAACTCGAGTCCCTGTTTGTGCTTGTAGCACTTGCAGTGGTTCCTGAGCTTTCGAAGTCGTGTGTCTTACCTCTCCGCATCGAGCTGCACATGCACACTTTCTTAAATGGTACTGGGCAGATCTTGGCATAGTTCTACGGGGCTTTATGGCATGTTAGCCTCCAGCGGTTCAGCAGCCAAGAGTGCCCTTACCACGTGAAGCCTTGAAGCACAGTGGCAGGATTCAGTCTTACACTCAGCAACCTTTTCCACCTCTAATCCTCAACACTAACTCCTTTTCAAGCTTCGCAGGTTCTCCAGGTCAGTGTCCTTCTCCAAGCTCACATGACGTATGACACGAACACATGACACGATGTGAGAAATCGGCTATCCTCCGGACCATACGACAGTGTGAAGCAAGCCGCCTGAATCGGCCATGGCTGCCATAGCTTTGTCATGAACAACAATTACAACGACCTGCGATAACTTTTTCCCAGCCCAGTTGTGTTTTGTTTCAAGTCTTGCAACGAAGCAAGAGTCAAGAGTCGTTGTATACGCGTGCATTCGAAGACTTCTGGCCGGCAGATTTGGCAGTTGGCCCAGAAAGGGTTTGCAGGTGCGCTTAATTCTAGTTCCGCGGCAACTTGCAAAGTCATCTAGTTACAAGTTACGGGTCGAAGCCCCTGCTCCTAGCATCGACAGCTTAGAGCGTCTAAAACTATTTTTTCTTTTGCTTTGCCCAGCTCTTAGAGCTTTCAGCCCGGTACATAGTATGTATCTGCAGCCGTGCTCGCATCCTCTCACGTTTCAGGCTCGGCTGCAGCCGGCAGGGCCTGCAGATCGGGAGCCCTCACAGGCCGCGGTTCGCTGCGCTGACCTTGAGCGGTTAGATTAAAAGGTTTTAGGGCCCTAGGTAGACACAAATGAGAGCTTTGGTGTTGGATTCGAGTCTGTTGAGCTTTCTGGCTTTATCGAAAGCGCCTCGCGTCATCCGAGGACCAATCAGCAGAGGCGGATTTTTGAGCAACCCGTCGAACCAACACCCAATTTTAGGGGCCTGTGAGAAGGACCGCTTCGGCCCAGGCCGAGGCGAATTTGCGGCAGTTTCTGGGATCCCAATTTGGCAAGAGGCTTCCTCTATGCCCGAGCATCTCATCATGTTGAGCCGCTGTGGCAGGCTCGGAGAGAGTCTGAGTGGGCCTGGACTTGCTACCGAAATGGCTGGGCGCGGGCCTCGAGCCAGGTGTAGGACTGAACCTCTGCCTTCAAGGCTTGACACGATCGAAGCCCGAACTCGTCACAGTAGATGCCGAAGCGGCTCTTCTTGCCTGAGCTCCTGATTAAATGAAACCAACCCCGGACCGGAACCTCAGAAATACTGAATGCCCAACCACAGCTCCTAAAACACATGCCTGCTTCAGGGTCTGCGGAACGGGAGTTTAGAGCCGCCCAGACCTAACCTAAACACAGCCTACATACGCTTCTTGTCGGCTTGCTAATCCTTTCTGGGCAGGCTTAGTAGCAGAACTTTGCTCCCGTAATGACGGGCCATAGCGATGCACGTCAATGTACCGCGTTTGGAGCCAGGCCAAATCCTCGTCCGCGAAGCCAACAAATGCTGAGGTTCGGCAGAAGGCTTTCGCGAGAGTGCACAAGCATTTGACCACTGGTTGATGAAGACGATGTAGACGGTTTGCCTGGCAATGCGAGCCCTCGAGCTCCGAGCCTTCGAAGTGACAACCGCACGATCGGGACGGACTGTACTTATGACTTGGAAAGACCTCCTCTAGGTGCAAGGGTTCCCAAATTTGCGAGGGTAGTAGCCGTCTGCACCGCGGGCAGGCCAATACCAAGAATCCACCCCCGGAGAGTACGACGGAACTCAGGCGCCGTGAACTTGTGTTGGTCTTGTATTTGGAGATTAGCTGCACTGGCCTCAGGATTCGCAGAAAGAAAGGTTCTCGAAGTAAACAGACTTTTGGTCATGTGTAATTCGCCCGTGGAAATTGTCGTCGTGGCGGAAGTCTGGCCAGGAGGATGGGCAAAGGGGAAGCACAGAGCACGAAAGGGCCGTCACCATTGCCTCGAGTGGATCTCCTCCTATGTACGCGCTTTTGTCGCATGCAAGGGAGTCTATCCTAAGTTCTTTCGGGTGGCAAGGATGCTTGTCAAGAACATCAAGACCACGAAGCTCCGACGGGTCTCTGGGCTGCAAGTTGGCCTGTGAGCTGTGCCTGCGATCCTCAATGATTCCTGCAGCCTCAAGCAACAGCTTTGGACTTCAGCCTGCCGCCTGAAATCCGGATATCCGTTTCTACTCCAAGTCATGATGGACCTGCCTCGTCAAACTCATTCTCCCCAAGCGTTCACTCAGGACGCAGACCCACATCGCAAACACCCAGTTCCCCAAACCCTAACCCTAATGCTGTACCACAAACCCCAACTCTCGTGGCAACGCGTCCAAGGAGTTTCAGAAGCGATCCTACGGTGCCTCGGCAGAACCAGTGTTCGTGGGTTGGGCGCAGTCAAAGTAAAGGAAGCAACAGTGGCAACAGCATATGACTAGTCGGTTCTGGGGTGGCCGTGGTCCTGCTGTCGTCTATCCCGTATACTATGACTATGATTGCCGCGTGCAGGCAACTATGGCCGTTACCGGAAGAACCGGGACGAGCGGATAGCCACCCGCAGCTCCAAGAGTCAGATCCTGGGCGGCATGTATGGCTCAGGATTCAGTGACTCGAGACACGAGCATGGGGCTTGGGTGTAAGGGAGCTTGTCCAAACCCGGCCACAGGTCCTGGCTAGCCAGTAAAGTTGAGCACACCCTGGACGGCTACTGCCGCGTTTAACCATACAGCTTGTTTCTCAGATAGGAAAACTGCCCCCTTGAATGGAGGTACATGTGTGTGTATGTATATATATATATATGTATGTATATACATATACATCTACGTGTATATATATATATATATATATATATATATATATATATATATATCATATAGATACACATGCACACATACACGAATACATGTACATATATATATATGTATATATATATATATATATACATACACATATGTATGTATGTATGTATGTATGTATGTATGTATGTATGTATGTATGTATGTACGTGTGTATATATATATATATATGTGCATATATCTGTATATGTCTATATATATGTATATATATATGTATATATATATATATGTATATATATATATATATAAATATAAATATAAAATTTAGACATAAATACAAACACAAGTATTTGGACATAAATACAAACACAAGTACAAACACAACATAAGAATAACATAAACATAAATTGAATGAATATTTAATGGCTATTTATAGATAGATAGATAGAGAAATAGACAGATGGATGGGTGTTGCGTATATTGCGTCGGAATCAAGGCGTGTGTTTTCCGAGTAAGATGCGATTTTGATATAGTTCATAATTTTCTGGAATCGGCGTATCCCTAGCTGTAAATCTGAAATACGATGACAGGGTCTTCGATAAGCTTATGTAAACTCGTATACTGAATGGAAGTTGATAAATGCATATATGCAGTGCAGACTTATGTTTCGGCTGCCAAGTTACCCGTTCAGAGTATTCGGTGTTGCCACATGCTCTTTCTCTGTAGAATCTGGTCATATGGTTCATCAACATCTTCATGTTTTACTACCTCTGTTTGAAGCTTGTAATCCGTTATGTCTTTCCATGGTTTTAATTTGACAGCCATCATGCCCTTTCAGCTGGGACCGAAATGCTGCATTGAGGGTTTACAGTGTTGGCTCCCCACCATGTTTGCCACCCATCATTCCTTGCTGGAGTTTGGAATGCTTCTGAACGAGTGGGGGTTTATCGGGTTTGCCACCCGCAATCTGCTGCCGAGGATGAAAAAACTGACCATGCCACACATCATGTGTGCTCAGACTTTGGGATGCTTTGGAATCAGTTACCTTTTGTCGAGAGACAAGAGCTACGCAGGAGGGGTCTTGGAGACGGACGACGAAGAAACCTGCGGAAACCCGTTACGTTGTGGTTGTGGAGCTTCGGGTTTTTAAACACCGGAAAGAGTTTTGAATCTGATGGGCCTTCGCGGGTCTGATGCAAGCGGATCCCGGATCATCTAATCATCGAATCACGGGTCAGACAAGGGAGGTGATGTGCCAGCGGTCTGAGCCAACATGTACGCATACGTGCATGCATACTGTGTAGCGGAGTTTCGAGCTGCCTGCATTGGCATCGTTCTAGCAGCTTTTGTGTTCCGTTCGTCACGTCGTGGATTTCACATGGGCTTTCCCTAGGCCCAAATGCCAGACCCCAACAGGAATCAATACCCCGTACGCCTCACTCAGCGCCCGCTCTCTACAACTCGCAAAGCTTTTCCCGTGCTTCGCTCTGTTTCAGGACCGATCCGTTTTCGGTGCTTTTTGCGCATCTCTCCAGGCGAGTGCCCGAGGACATTTGGCATACGTGCGTTTGACCTCAAGATCAGACGATCGAGAAGTGTGCTGATAGAATTCTTCCTATCTTGACACCTCCGGCACGCGTTGCATTTTTTGGGGATGCGAGCGTTGCACCAATTGGCGTTCGGTTTCAACGCTGTCCCGATTGCGGACGAGTTTTTGGTTCGGACGTGAATAACTTTGAAAGGCCGCCTGGAAGCCTGGAGTGCAAACTTGACATGGATTGACTTGGCCGAAAGCTTTGAACCTCAACCCGCAGCTACACAAAGCGCTACTTAAGCTACCAAAAGCTTCCGGGACTCCCAGGGAACAGCCCAGTTCCTGTCAGGAGTATTTGAAATCACTGTTCGAAGAAGTGGGGCGGGTCGTGCACTTCGAGCTTTGGAAAGGTGTCTTGGCAGCCGGAGCTCAAAGCCGCTTTGGTTGGGAAGCGGACGTCATGTTGCGTTTGTACCTGCGATGTGTGCTGTTCTAGCGGATGTTAGGAGGATATAGGCCAGAGAACGACAGCAAAGGCTCCGCCTCAGTTCTTCGAAGCTGTTTGTCCGGGTCGCGTATCCTTTTTGTCTTTTTTTTGTGTCAAAATGTTTTTTTTATGTCTCAGTTGATGTCTCGGCTTACACATTGCAATGTCTCGGCCATGTCTCGGCCATGTCACGGCCATTGTGAGGCGGCCACGACAGAGGACATCATTTCAGGCCTAGGCCAAATCATAAACCCGCTCACGCATTGCATTGTCTCGGCCACTGTGAGGCGGCCACGACAGAGGACATCATTTCAGGCCTAGGCCAAATTATAAACCCGCTCACGCATTTCATATGCCCCCTTAAACTCACTATACCCCCTGAACGTCCTAAACCACCGAAATCCCCAAACCCTACACCCTAAACCCTACACCCTCCTGAGCCCTTAACCCTAATCTCTAAACCTTGGCGAACCCTAAATCCGAGTCTCGGCCGGGTCACGGCCGAGTCTCGGCCAAGCGTAAATCCCGAACCCTATGCCCTATATCCTAAACCGTTAACCCTAAACCTCTAAACCGTACGACCAAACCCTAAACCGTAAACCACAACCCTAAACCCTAAACCCTACACCCAAACCCTAAACCCTAAAGCACAACCCAACACCCTAAACCCTACACCCAAACCCCAAACCGTAAACCACAACCCAAAACCCTACACCCTAAATCCTAAACCCTCCTAAGCCTTTGACCCTAATCCCTAAACCCTGGCTAAACCACAAGCCAAAACCCTACACCCTAAACCCTAAACCCTCCTAAGCCCTTAACCCTAATCCCTAAACCCTGGCGAACCCTAAATCCGAGTCTCCGCCGGGTCACGGCCGAGTCTCGGCCAAGCGTAAATCCTGAACCCTAAGCCCTATGTCCTAAACCGTTAACCCTAAACCCCTAAACCTTACAACCAAGTCCTTAACCCTAAACCAGAACCCTAAACCCTAAACCCTACACCCAAACCCTAAACCCTAAACCAGAACCCTAAACCCTAAACCTTACACCCAAACCCTAAACCCTAAACCGTAAAGCTTGAACTCCACAAACTTGAAACCCGTGCAAAACCCCTTGAACCCTAAACCTGTATGTACAACAACAGAGAAAAAAGACATTTTGACACAAAAAAGACATTTTTGACCCCAGACTCGGGGTCCTGAGTTCAGATTGTAAAGCATTGAGTCTATGGGCCTTCAAATCAAAGCTCTTCCAAACCGTATCTTTGACTTTGTCCAAACCCGGCAAGACACCTCACGCTCTCGGCCTCGCAGCCGCGAAACCCTTCAAGTTTCCTTCCTGTTCGAAGTTCCGAGGACCCGATGGCCAGTCTCTGGGCCGAGGTGCCTGAAAAAGGGGGCTGTACACACATACATACATGCATACATACATACATACATACATATAAAGTATGTAACCTATACATACATGCGTGTCCAGGCATCACGTAGGCAAAGGTTGGCTTTGATGATTGGTTTGACTTTGACATGCTGTTTCGGAATGTTTTCCAGGTTTTCACTTCTGCCGTGTGTGAGGTGTATCAGGCTCAAAAGAGTAAAGCCAGAGCGTGAAAGAGCAAGCTGGTGCAGGAAAGGTGACCTACACATCCACTGCTGATGCCAACATGGCTGTGAAGCAACTCAGTGGGTGGCCTCTTGTCGCATGGGGCATTAAGCCGTAGTTTCTCTGGTCCATGAACCCTACCTCGTCTTTCATTGCGGCATAGCTGTTGAGAATTGAAACGCTAGCTTTTTTCAACCCAGGGTTGCCAGCAAAGGGCTGTAGTTGAGACAGAACTGCTGGGAAAAGTCTTGAACTGCCTTGAAGACTAAGCATCTGTCAGCCCTTCTTACCTGCCCCGTTGCTAAGCGAGGTATGTACATGGGCGCACCATGCGGGTCTGCCTCTTCCGGCCACCAAGTGAAGAGCGTGGGGCCGATCTGGGCAAGAAGGACCGATCGTTAACAACGGAAGAAAGGATTGCACCGGTGTTATCATTGTACTTATAATCGCAGTACGGACAGCTTGTTGAGCTTTGAGAGTTGCTTATGTGTCGGGTACGTGGAGTTTTCAAGGCAACGGTCTAGAACCGACAGGCGCAAAGAAAAGTTTCCATTTTGTTTGCTTCTGAAGGACCCTGGCAAGTTTCCAGAGAAGCCCTGCTGCCGGCTCAGTGCGTTGAGGCTTTCCGTAGTTTGCAACCAAGCTCTGTGCAGAATCCAAAAGGCCACACCTAACCCACTGAAGGTTAGGACGTCAGTGCAGTCATGTGGGCATGAGACTTGGAACGTGTCCCAAGGTTCAGTCATCTTCAGCAACTGCAACGCCGTCAGCACAGAAGGCCCTCCGAATGCACAACATGGATGTCGGGTGTTCGGTCAAGAGTTCAGCCTGAGATCTCATGGTCCCAGCGAGAGACTGAAGAGGATCAGCAACAAGAGTTGAGAATCAAGGATAGCTGAAAACTCTTCTCCTGTGGCTGTCTCCAGGATTTCTGCGCTGGCTGCTGTCAAAGGCACGGCACCTAATGTCATCAGTTAAACGCATTCTAGCATTCT